GTAAGTCTGGCGCTCTGAGGACTCTTTGCCCTGGACCACTCATCATTTCTTTCTGCTTGCTGTGTCGTGGTGATCTCTGTACAGTGCCTACAACACAGCCTCTCTCTCTCTCTCTCTCTCTCTCTCTCTCTCCCCCTCTCTCTGTCTCTGTCTCTGTCTCTGTCTCTCTTTGTCTCTCTGTCTCTGTCTCTGCCTGTGTGTCTTTCTCTCTGTCTCTCTCTGTCTCTGTCTCTCTCTGTCTCTCTGTCTCTCTGTCTCTCTGTCTCTCTCTCTCTCTCTCTCTCTCTCTCTCTCTCTCTCCCTCTCTCCCCTCTCGGCTGGGGGCTTGCTGCTGTACCCCAACCCTCAACCAGGTAGGTGCCCTCTGCTTGCCCCAAGGCCACGGTAGTGGGGACTGGCAGAAACTCTCTCAAGGGGAAGCAGTTCCCTGTCATTGGGGTGTATGTGTGTGTATGATGGGCAGAAAGGGGCGACAAGGAATCGTGAAAAAAAAAAAAACCAAAAAAATGTTGTTTTCCCCTCTGTGGCTTAATTCCCCTCTCAAGTTTTCTTCTGGGATAAATATGAGGCTTCAGTTCAAAATCCTGAGGTGCTGCTAACATATTCTGGTTCCAAGAAAGTGCCGCTGTTATTTTGAGTAGTTTTGATACAACCAAATCAAAGTGAAGATTTGAAATAGCTTTTCTGAAAGCCCAAGCTGAAGTCATAAATTATTCTGCACCATGATTCTTTCTGATAGTAAAACCATACCTCTTTGCCTGACATAGCTGAAATGTGGAAAAGTGAAAGTTAAAAATAAAATGAAACATTTAAATCTTGGCTGTTGAGAACCCCAGATAGACATCAAGGCCAGTCGATAAAGGCCCCTATCAATTAGGCTCCACAGTTATCATCGGATTTGGTTTATTAGCCCCTGCACAGGTGCGGGTTCCGGAAAGAGGAAAGGGGATGAGGAAAGGCAGGGAATCCCATAAGGGGGGAACGTGAGGTGTGGGCGCCCAAGTAAACCTGGTCATGGGGCCGGGGTGAGTGTGGGGCCTACCTTTTGCAGGCTTGTAGGAGAAAATCCACAGCCGGAGGTGTGGAAGTTTTCCCTTCCCCCCTTTATTTGAGTTTGAAAGTGTTGATTTCACACTGCGGTGAGTGTTTCCCATCAGCTTCTTGGTGGGTGTATTCGTGTTAAGAGAAGGAACAGCGGACTCCACCAGTCGGAGGCTCCCCCCACAGTCTCCCTGACTCCCCATTTTGTGGAAACGGTGGGCTCGGGGGCCCGGGCTTCCAGTCTGAGCTGTTTGGCTGGTTCCCTTCTCGGCATATCGCAGGCAGGAGCAGTTTTTGGTTCCATCGCTGTTTGGTTGGGAAAACAAGCCCGCCGTTGCCAGTAAGGTTTAGAATTTGCCTGCCAGATAAGGGAATGTCTGTGAAGACTATTTTCCCTCTTGGGAGGCAAAACACAGATGGGGGAGTTAGGAGTCTTACAATATTTAGCTGCTACATTGGTGGTAGGGATTCTGCCGCGGAGATGCTCACAGCTTCTGAAGGCCCAGCTCTGCATCACTGCCAGGGGTCTCAGGTAGGGGAGAGAGAGGGCTGTGGCTAACTCACCATCTTGTTCTGGAACATTCCATGCTCTGTTGCCTCGAGGTGGAAAGGAGGCGCTGCATAGAACTGTTTCCCGATGACCCACGTGGGGATGAAAAGGGAGAATCGTGGTGCCTGGTGGGGCTCAGAGGCTGAGGAAGAGGCACCTGAGGGGCTGGGTGTCTTCTGTGATTCTCAGTCTCACTTGGCTGCTTCCTCTACAGAACATACAGTTGTGGCAGACGCTGGCTTCTTCCCCCGCCCCGAGGCATTTTAGAGTTGTCACCTCAGCCTGTTCAGGGCCTCATAGGTGGGAAGGAACAATGCTGAGATAGTCTTGCGTCTTGGGCCTTGGGTCTTGTTGGGGGGGGCGGAGGGTTCTGAATGGAAAATGTACTATCTTTGGAATCCACTTTGGGGGGGTTATGTGTTTAGAAATCTGCTTAGAACTTTACTTATTTTTTTATTTTTAAAAAGTGTTTTGGTTTCTAGGGCTGGAGCGATAGCACAGCGGGGAAGGTGTTTGCCTTGCATGCGGCTGACATGGCCGACCCGGGTTCAATTCCTCCACCCCTCTCGGCGAGCCCGGCAAGCTACCAAGAGTATCTCTCCTGCACAGCAAAGCCTGGCAAGCTTCCCGTGATGTATTCGATATGCCAAAAACAGTAACAAGTCAGTAACAGTAACAGTAACACAATTTGTTGTGAGATGTTACTGGTGCCCCCTCAAGCAAATTGATGCACAACAGGAGAACAGTGCTACAGTGCTACAGTTTTGGTTTCTAGGGCTGGGGCAATAGCATAGCAGTAGGGCATTTGCCTTGCACGTGGCTGACCCGGGTTCAATTCCTCCATCCCTTCTGAGAGCCCGGCAAGCTACCGAGAGTATCCTGCCCACATGGCAAAGCCTGGAGAGCTCCCTGTGGAGAATTCGATATGCCAAAAACAGTAACAATAAGTCTCACAACGGAGACGTTACCAGTGCCTGCTTGAAAAAATTGATGAACAGTGCAGTTTTGGCTTCTAAGCCAATGACGTGCTTGCGAGTTCCTCCTTGCTCTGTGCTCTGGGAGTCACTCTGGTGGTTATGCAGGATCGTGCAGTGCCGGGGATGGAATCTGTGCCCAAAGCACATTCTCGTTCTCAGCAAACCCAGGCCCCAGAGGTCAGGAACAGCGACCGTCCTTAGAAACAGGAGGAGCGTGTGTCAGCACCTCCTGTCCAAGAGACGGGACTCTCAGTATTTCTGAGAGGGGCCTGAGACTAGGATGAGCCACTTGAAGGTACCTGCTGGAGACCCCACCCCAGTAGTGCTCCCCCAAAGCTCTGATAAGGACACTTGACTCTTTACACTTTGATCTGCAATGGAGCCCTGACAGTATCTTCACTTAGAACTCCTCAATGACTTCTTGATGACTGAACCTGCCATATACATGAAAAAGTGTCCCTGTAGCCCTGCAGATGAAACTCATCCCTGTAGCTTCTCAGAGAAAGCCTGTGGCTGACCAGCCCACAAAGACTTCAGAAAGGCCCTCAGTCTTCAGGAAGATCCCTGCTTGGTCTTGAGGTTCAGAAACTTCTAGAAGGAAATGGCTCTCAGAGGCCTTTGGACCTTCCTGCTATCAGAGACTGGCATGACCCTCAGGGTGTTTCAGGCACTGGCAGGAACCAGATGCCTTGGGTTCAGGGTGTAGCTTCTGCTAGGCTCTGAGTGTTCCAAGGAAGCCCCCTTGTCCTGGAAGGGCCATCCGTGCCCCCAGCCTCTGTAGAGCGAGTGTCTGCGGGCAGCAGTGACCATTCTGCTCTTTGCTGCAGTGGGGTCACAGAGGAGCGAGCTGATAACTGTGATTTCCCCATGATAATGACGCTAAGCTTGCATCTGGGTCCAGGCCTTCACGTCGTATTTGATCTTCATCAGGAGGCCTCCCAGCACCAGTAGCTAGAGATGCCTGCACACTTCTGCCTTCTCAGAGCCAGAGAGAAACGCCAGTCGGGTGGTGTAAAACTCTGGAAGAAGGGAGAGGGTAGCAGGTGCTAGCCCCAGTGCCTTGGGGATTCCCCCCAGGGTTCCTTCACTAATGCCCTTGTTCCAGGTACTCTTTTTTTTTTCTGCTTTTTTGGGTCACACCCAGTGATGCTCAGAGGTTACTCCTGGCTCATGTACTCAGGAATTACTCCTGGCGGTACTTGGGGGACCATATGGGATGCTGGTAATCGAACCCGGGTTGGCCACGTGCAAGGCAAACACCCTACCCGCTGTGCTATCACTCCAGCCCCGCTCCAGGTACTCTTCATCATTCCATTTTTCAGATTAGGGAGACTGACATTAGAGATGTCAGAAGTGTCAGGTCAGACAGCTGGTGAGGCTTTTCTGGAGGTCTGTTCCCAGGGCCATGGTGGAGTCATCCTGGAGATAGCCTTGGCCGTACTGGTCTCTGGGAGCTCAGCTGTGGGGAGGGGAGGCAGTCTCCAGGCAGCCACGGGAGGGAGGGTGTCAGCTGGGTGGGTGGGAGAGGAGCAGAGGTCAAGGATACTCCCCAGGGATAAAACACTGGAATTAAGAGGACACGGATGAGCTGGCTGGGCGGAGGGCTGGGGAAGAGGCTTCCTGGCAGAGGACAGCAAGGGCCACAATCCCAAGGAGGGACAAAGCTGAGAGGTGACCCAGTGAACTGGGGTGCGGGTCTGCATTCTGCCCGGCTTTGTGTTCCAAGAGGGCCACTGGCTTCTCCTTGTTGCTCTGAAACCAGGAGTAGGTCTGGAACCAGCTGCCTTCTTAGGTGGAAGACTAGAATTTTTCAGAGGACTTCCAAGATCCTTGGGCGGGAGGGGCTTCTGCTTGGTCTTCCTTTCTCTGCTGTAGGAGGCCGGCTCTGGCCCCTCATCTGAGCCGGGAGTCAGGACTGCACACCTGCGGGTGCAGGAAGGTGGTGGGTGCATGGGCCCTGAGTCATGGCAGTGCCCCCGCTGTTCTGGAGAGAAATGCAGTGGAAAGGCTTAAAGGCTCAGCGTGTGCCTCACTCTCCGTGGGCTCATCCACTGTAGGCGGCGTCAGTCACCTCTAAACCAGGTGAGCAGCACATTGGGGACCTCTCCGGATCTGCCCAGTTGACAAGTCAGGCCTTTCTTTCCTGAGGCTCTTCAGGGGCTGTTGTCAAGTATGAGTCTGTCTTCGGGAATACTAGGGAATGTGTGCGCCCCTCAGAGCCTCAGGCTGGCAGAAATCCTTTTCATCCAAGCGACCTTTATTTTAGAGGTGTGGAGACTGAAGGCTCAGAGAGGGCAGGGGATGGCCCCAAAGTCACACAGCAAGCCACTGGCAGAGCCCTCCACACCGCAGCACCAAGTGACAACCAAGAGGGTTGGGTGACTCTCTGGTTGCAGGACTTGGCGTACCAGCAAAAGCAGGACAGGAGGTTC